TATTTGAATTTCTAAAAAACATTTTAATATTTATGAAAATAAAAGAATTATTGCGAAAAATTTTATTAAAATGTTTAAAAAGAATTGAATTTCTGTGAAAAATTTTATTCTTTTTGAAAAGAATTGAATTTTTAATAAGAATTTTATAAATATTGTTTTCAAAATTAATTTATTCGAAATATTATAAATTTTATTTTAAATAATTGAATTCTTGTGGAAAACTTTATTTGTGAAAATAATTGAATTTTTCGATTAAATCATTTAAAATAATATTAAAAACAATTCAAATTCTTCTATGAGTTTTATTACCTATTTATGAAAATAATTGAATTCTTGCTAAGAATTTTATCAAAAAAATTTTTTTAAAAATTGAATTTCCATGAAAAATGTTATTATTAGTGAAAGTAATCGAATTATTATGAATAATTGTATAAAAATTTTGTTAAATAATTGATTTTTTTGAAAATGCTATTCTAAAATAAATGAATTCCTGTGAAAAATTCTAATATATTTGTAAATAATTGAATTCTTCCAAAGAATTTAAAAAAAAACATTTTTTTAAATAATTGATTTTTTCGAGAAATGTAAATTAAAATTTTTAGAATAATTAAATTTTTCGAGAAATTGGATTAAAATTGTATTAAAAATAATTGAAATTTTGCAATGAGTTTTACTATTTATGAAAATAATTGAATATCCTATTCATAAGAAATTTTTAAAAATAAAATTATAATTACGGTAACTAACTTCCCTTCATTATTTTCGAAATATGTAAATAAAATTCTTTAAAAGAATTTAATTATTTTTATAATAAAATTGAAAGAAATTTCAATTCTTTCAAAAATTTTCAATTATTTGTTTATGAAAATGCAATTATCTTGAAACAATAGAATTGAAAAATTTCAAAAATCTTATTTTTTAAAATTTCCGAAAGAACTTTGCAAAAATTCAAATTTAATGAAATTTTTTAACAAATTTTAATTATTTTCAATTGAATTTTACAAAATTTCTATTAATTCGATAATTTTTTTAAAATTTATTTACATACTGTAAATTTACATATCTACAAAAATTGAAATAAAAAGCAATTTTTTAAAAACAAATTAAAATAATAAAACTTTTTTTAATTTAGTGAAAAAATTTCCGGTTTGGCATAAAATTCCTGGCTTGTTCCTGGTTTTTCCCGGTCAAATTAAATTCCCAGCTATTTCCCGGTTAGTGGACACCCTGATTTATTAATTATTTTGTAATATATATATATATTCCTTTATTAATTATTTTGAAATATATATTTCTTTTAATTATTTTGAATTAGAATTTTTTTGAATTCCGGAAAATTCAACTATATAACCAAAATCGAATAATGAAAATAATTTACATTTACCATGAAAAAAATGCTCCGTTTTGGTGAAACTGACGGCATGAGAAATCAGAGAATTGTAGACGACAATAAATATATGTGATATAAATACATATTTTTCCCTGCCCCCTTATTCTGCGGCTAGAAGAAGACCAGCAATCACAATTTCTGCACAATATATAAAAGGACTGTCCGAATATGTACAAGACAGGGCGAGGGTTTCAGTGGTACATTTTTGTATTCATCGCGCATTGCTTTTATCTCCCCACATTTTTATTACATGCTGGAGTAAAGAATGTTTTTCATATTTCGCACACGCAAGATAAGAAAGATCTCAGAGAATTATCCCCCCGAAATTCCAACACGTTTTGCATTTCACTCAAGATTTACAAAATTTTTAAATGGTTTTTACTTTTTTTTAATGCGCATATATATAAATGCATAAATTTTTTATCAATTCGTGTTGCTTTAAAAAGGTAGCTGGTAAGATTTTAAAACTTTTTTTTTTATTTTGGGAACGGAAAGAATTGAATGCAACCGTATTTATTAATTTTTAAAGGCAAATTAAATAGAAAAAAAATATTTTTTGATTTAAACCTGAACGTGATTAAAAAATGTATCAACTTGTCAACTCTTTCAAAAAAGGAAATTTAATTTTCTATTTAAGAATAAAAAAATATTTAAAATACACAAATGATAATATTAATAAAAGTAGTTGTTAAAATGATAAAACAATAACAACTCCTACAAAAAGGATTATTACAGATTCAAAATTTAAAGAATTCACTTATTAAGTACATAATATTAAATATTCTTGTTTATTATTTTAATTTTAAATTTTAATAACATTTTTCGCAAGAATTTCATTATTCTCATAAATAATAAAATTCTTCAGAAGAATTCATTTATTTTCAAAAAAATAATTTTTTTAAAAATATTTATTGAATTCGATTATTTGCAAGAATTTTAATACAAATTAAATTATTTTTAACAATTTTGATGAAATTATTTTTAAAAAATCATTATTTTCAAAAAATTTTATAAAATTCCTTCAAAAAATTCAGATAAAATTATTCGAAACAATTCAATTGTTTTTATAAATTAAAAAATTCTTCGCAAGAATTAAAATATTTTCGTAAGTAATAAAATTCTACAAAGGAATTCAATTATTTTTATACATAATTGAATGTTTCGGAGGAAATCAATTATTTACAATATAATTTTAATAAAATTTCTTGAAAGAATACAATTATTTTTAAAAATAATATGTAAATTCAATTATTTTTAACAATTGTGATATAAAATTCTTCCAAACAATTTAATTATTTTTATAAATTGTCAAATTCTTGGAAAGAATTCAATTATTTTTGTAAATAATAAAATTCGTTTGAGAAATTAAATTATTTTCAATACAATTTTAATAAAACTTCTAGGAAAAAATTCAATTATGTTCAAAACTTTCAGTAACAATTATTAAAAGAGAACTCTTTTACTTTCAAAAAAATTGAAATAAATTCTTCAAAACGATTCAATTACTTTAACGAGAGTTTTAATAAAAATCTTTCCAAGAATTAAATTATTTTCAATACAATTTTAATTACATTTTCTTGAAAGAATACAATGATTGAAAAAAATGTTGATAAAATTCTTAAAATGAATTCAATTATTTTCAAATTTTTTTATAAATACTTTACAAGAATTCATTGATTTTCAGTAAATCGACAATTTAATTATTTCTGAAAACAATTGAATTTTTTAATAGAAGTTTATTAAAACTGTTTTTAATAATTGAATCCCTGCGATAAAATTTATTATTTCTACAAATAATTGAATTTTTGTAAATTTTTAAAAATAAATTAATTTTTGAGAAGAATTTTATAAAAATTGTATATTTAAAATAATTTAATTCCAGTGAAAAATTTACTATTTATTGATGGTCTTGAATTCTTTCGAAGAATTAAAAAAAAAGTTTAAAAATAATTTAGTTTACCCTAGAATTCAATTGAAATTGAATTTAAAATAATTGAATTCCTGCGAAAATCTCATTGTTTTTAAAAATAATTGAATTCTTGAATTGGATTTTGTTAAAAGTTTTTTTAAATAAGTAATTGAACTCATGTAAAAAATTCAATTATTTTAAAAAATAATTGAATTTTCTCGGAGAATTTGTAGAAGATTTTTAAAAATAATTTAAATTTTCGAAGAAATTAATTAAAATATTAAATTAATAATGCAACATGAAATTATTCAGAACGTATTTACAAAATATTAAATTGTTATAAAAACAGTGCGGAACAATTGTTAATTTTTAGGTTAAAACAATGATTCAGAATAAATAAAAATAGTAAATATTTAACAGAAAATTAATATTAATATTAATTAATTAATATTTAGAATGTTCACAAAATATTAAATTGTCATTAAAACAGTAGAACAATTGTTAATTTATAGGTTATAAAATACTTACAAAAACCTGCAAAATCTTTTTTCCGGAAAAACCACGTGCACTAATCTTGATTGATGTTTTTTTCACAATTTTTTTCCAACACTAGAATATTATCTAAAACAAATAAAAATCATAATGGGTTATAATTTTTTTGAAGGAATAAATAAGAGCACATCTTCTGAAAATACGAAGAAAATGGGAAGAATTATTTGTAACAAAACAAATGAAATAAAAAGACAAAATATAATTAGAAGTATTAATATATTCTAAAACAATTGGAAATTATTGTTTCAACATTTTTTCAATGACTCAATGAATAATAAAAAATCTGAAAATGCGAAAAAAGCTTTGACGAATTGTAACAAAACAAAAAATGCACAGTAAAAAACAAAGGAAGCAAAAAGAGAAAATTGACAAAATTGATTAAAAAGAGAAAAAAAACACGGTGTGTATAATTATACTTACAGCTAGTTATTTTTCCTTTTCTCCCGAATCAAATTTTGCACTTATTTTAATCTCCTACTTTTACTGCGACACTCTTACACGAAATACACAAAAACTTACAATATAAACAAAACTATTTACTAATTTGAACAAGATTTTTTCTATGGCTTCCACTTTCTTTTGTTTTTAACAGAGAAAATTTTTCTAAGAAAAATATATATGCAACTGTGCAACCGCTTTTCACTGACGGATTATAAAGGTATTAATCAAAATTAAGGAAAGAATTATATAAATTTCTTAATTTTGTTGTATTTATTTTCACTTAAATCATTATTTTTCTTTGTTTATTCAAATCAAATTATTAATATAATTTCCCCAGTTAAAAATACTTATAAATCTCACAAAAAATAAAATTTTTAATAGTATAGGGACCTTATACCCATCTTACGGCACTGACGAAAACAAACGAAAATCTCAACTTTTACTCACCTGTGTGAAGTTGATCGCAATCGTAAATTTCAAATTTCTTTCTTCTTTTAAAACCTACTTTACAACTTATGTACAAAATATTTGCTAAGCATTAATAAAGTATTTACTATTTCATCTCTTGATAATAATTTTTTCATAATTTCCAACAATTTTCAATCGGAAATAACATTTTGAATTAGTGAAAATTTGAATCTTATCGATATCTCGAAGTCGAATTGCAGCGAGACTTGTGCGAGGTCACATGACCTCAGCGTGGGTTTGTTTGGCGCCTTGCCGCATAGAAAGTGTGTGTTAGTTGTGTATTATTTGTTTTAAATTAACGTGATAAAAGTGATTAAAATGTACGAATTAAAGGAATGATATGTTGGATAGCTGCCTTAATAGCGACATTAACTTCTTATGCAATAATTAACTGTGAGTATTGTTTTATTTCATCTTACTCTTGTTATGTATTATTGACACGAAAAGTGAGGTTATGTTTACTTCTCCCGGTGTGAATTTTTGCCATTTATTTTGATTCTTGTTAAAAGTTTTATAACTCCAGGTCAATATCACCTGAATATTTTCACAGTTAGTGTAAATTAATTACTATTTTGATAAATGTGGTGCCTGTGACTTTACATTTTGTTTCAAAATTGTTTTGTGCGTAGTGAATTATCACACGTCAGTATTTACTTCTAGTCCCTTTAATGATCGATTTTTTTCTATTTAGGACTTTCTTTAGCATTTTTTTAATAGAAAAGTATTTATTCTATTTTATTTCGAATATTTGTAAAATATACTGCTCACATTTGACGAAATTTAACCAAGTTGAAGTCCACAACGTTGATCAACGAAAAAAAATTGTTCACTTAGTAAATTAATTAAAAATGACGCAGCAATATTGACACAAAAATATTTAGAAAAAAAGATTGATGTTCATATTTTGCTAATAATTATTTTACAATTAAATATTGAATTAAAAATAATACTTGAATGCATTAAATAAATTTTTACAAAGTTGAAGTCCACAACGTTGATCAACGAAAAAAATGTATTCAATGCATTCAAGTATTATTTTTAATTTAATATTTAATTGTAAAATAATTATTATCTAAATATAAACATCAACCTTTACTTTCTAAATAGTTTTGTGTCAATATTGCTGCTTTATTTTTAATTAATTTGCTTAGTGAACCAATGTTTTTTCGTTGAGCAACGTTGTGAACTTCAACTTGGTTAAATTTTTTTCGTTGATAAACGTTGTGGACTTCAACTTTGTGAAATTTATATAAACTCTGTATATATTTGTATTTATTTATTGTAGAAGTTAATTATCTCGTTAATCTATTTGCTTTTAGTTTTTTAGTGAATCAAATTTTTGCTATTTAGTACTATTTTTTCCTTTGTTTTTTGTTCTTTTTTTACCTTTTTTAGTCATACAAGACATTTTATTTATTTGTGAAATTTATAGTACACATTTGATAAAATTTACCTGAAATATCTATATTTGTATTCATTATAGAAATGAATTAATTTGCTATTTTTCTTTGTAGATTACAAAGGAAGTGGATCCAAAAGCAAAATGTCGAGTAGAAAATACCAAGATGTTGAATATTTAACAGATGATGAAGATGAAAATGAATCGGGAGTATCAAATGAAGTTGGTGATTCTGGAGAAGGTGGAAGTGGTGATTTTAAAATACTTCCTACATATGGCAAGCGAAAAGGACTTTTCGATTGGGAATCAGGTAGACAGTCTCCGGATTTTAAAAAGAAATTGACTACAGATGCAGAACAGTCACAAACTCCTGGATTTATTGAATTGACTGACGACGAATCGGACAAATCTATTTCACCTAGTAGAGCGTCTATGAGGCCTCTTAACAGAATTGTTAAAACTGAAGTTCCACAAGTTCTTATACATAATGTATTAATGATTTCAAAAGTCTCTGTTGATTTACCAGTGAAACCTTATCCGTGTCAAACGGCTGTGATGGGCATGGTAATTTTTTTTTCATCTTCGAAAATTATGAATAAGTTAGAAATCATTATCAATTATCATTATTAATTATTATTATTGTGACAAATTTTTTTACAGCTTATCAAAGGATGTACTAATAAACAGAATTGTCTCTTGGAAAGTCCAACTGGAAGTGGAAAAACCTTAGCGTTACTATGCAGTGCTCTCGCTTGGCAGGATCATTTTTCGAGTGAGTTTTTGAACCATCTTGCATGCTGTAATATGTATTTTTCCAATTTTTTGCATTGTCTAAAAATGTATTAATCTGCATTATCAAAAATAGGTGAAAATAGTAAAAATAGATGTTAATTCATTATTACTGAAATTTTATTTTTACCATGAAAATTTTAAAAATAAACATTTACAGGGTTGCCACAGGTCAGGGAAGTCAGGGAAAGTAGAATTAGTCAGAAAAAAGTCAGAGATTTTTATTAAAAGTACTGGAAAAAATTAAATTTTTTAAATTCATAAGAAAATTCTGTATTTTGGTATTACTTACAAATTATTTAATGAATAATGTTACTTAAATATTTCAAAATTAATTGAATTTTAAAAGAGTTGCATTTACAATTTTCATAAATAGATGAACTTTAAGAGGTTCTAATTTGAAATTCTTTAAAATTTCAATTTTTAATTAGTTTTATTAGAAAATTTAAAGAACTTAGATTTTTGAAAAATTTTAATAATTCAAATTCTTCTGAAATTGGTTAAATTTTTTAATATTTATTTAATTATTTATTGACCATAATGGATTTATAGAAGAATTTTAGTTAAGGGGACCCGCACCCGAAATTTCAACTATAACAGAATATAATTGAAAAAATTTTGTATATTTTTTTCTGACACTATTTTGATTCAGAAATAAGGTGAAAGAATCAAAAAAAATTTTCATGATTTTTTCGGAAATTAAAAAAATTTTTTTTTTAATTTTATTTTGTAACTTTTGACAAAATTAAAATTTTACAAAATCCATGCCCTTAAATATAAAATGGAGTGTAAGAAACTCATTAAAACAAAAACCATGAAAAAATAATAAAATTTGTGAAAGAAGAAGCATTTTTTTGTAAATTTATGGTTTATAATGTTATACCATAAACTTATAAAAAATGCTTCTTCTTTCACAAATTTTATTATTTTTTCATGGTTTTTGTTTTAATGAGTTTCTTACACTCCATTTTATAATTAAGGGCATGGATTTTGTGAAATTTTAATTTTGTCAAAAGTTGCAAAAGAAATTTTTAAATTTCCGAAAAAATCAAGAAAATTTTTTTTGTTTTTTTTTCACCTTATTTCTGAATCAAAATAGTGTTAGAAAAAAAATATACAAAATTTTTTCAATTATATTCTATTATAGTTGACATTTCGGGTGCGGGTCCCCTTACAAACAATAAAGAAATTAAATTTCAGAGAAGTCAAAAATGATTGCAAAAATTCAATTATTTTCAAAAGTAATAAAATTTTTTGCAAAAATTCAATTATGTTAAAAAATTCTCATTAAAATTTGAATTCATTTATTCATAATTCATTTTTTTAAGGATTTTATAGAAATTTTTTAAAAAATTAAATATTTCAAGTACTTTATTAAAATTTTTGAAAGTAATTGAATTTTTCAAGAAAATTTATTGAACTTTTTAAAAATTATTGAATCTTTCATGAATTTTATTAAAAGTTTTGAAAATAATTGAATTTTGGAGAAGAATTTTATAAAAATTTTTGAAAATATTTTAAAATTTTGACAAGATTTTTATTAAAATTTTCGAAAATAATTGAATTTTAATAAAATTCTTGAAAAATTCAATTATTTTTAAAAATTTTAATAAATTTCTTGAAAAATTCAATTACTCTAAAAAGTTTCAAAAAAATTCTTGAAAAATTCAATTACATTCACAAATTTCAAAAACATGCTTGGAAAATACAATTATTTCCAAAAATACCTATAAAATTCTTTGCAAAATTTCAAGTATTTTCAAAAATTTCAATAAAATTCTTAAAAAATTTAATGATTTCAAAAATTTAAATAAAATTATCTTTATAAATAATAAATTCTCTAAAATTCAATTATTTTCAAAAATTTTTAAGATTCTTTGAGAAATTTCAGTTATTTTCAAAAATTTCCCTCAATTCAATTATTTTTAATATCTATACTATTCTAATAAAATTCTCTAAAGGATTTCAATTATTTAAAAAAGAATTTGATAAAATTCTACGCAAAACATTTAATTAATTATTTTCATAAATAAAATAAAACTCATCGCAGCATGTAAAATTATTTTTAATGCAATTTTAATTAAATTTCTCAAAAAGTGTAATTATTCTTAAAAATTGTATTAAAATTCGTCGAAAGAAGTTAATTACTTAAAAATTTGTTGATAAAATTCTTCATGAAAATTCAATTTTTTGTTTGTTTTTTTTTTCTATTTAAATAATTGAATTCTCGTAGAATTTTTGAATAATAATTAGAATTAATAAATAATTAAGTTTTGAAAAGGTTTCAAATTAAAATCTTTGAAAATCTGAATTTTTCAAACTTTTAACTAAAAATTCTATTGAATGAATTTTTTTGAAAAAGTTTAATGATTATAAAACATGAAGAAATCGATCACTTTATGTTTTCGATCGATTTCTTCATGTTTTGTAATAATATTCTTAAAAGTTGTTGAATTTCAAAAAGGTTTGAATTTGAAATTTTCCAAAATTAGAATAATGTTTAGGGTCAGTGAAAAAGTCTAAATTTTGTCTGAAAATCTGGTAACAGTGAGAGCGAAACAAAATTAAATTTTTGTGGCAACCCTAATTTACTTTTTGAATTCTCGTCGAAGAAACAAATAAGAAAGTATTATTGAATCAAGATAATCTTGAATTTCAAAGTTTTTCTACTGAAACAATTTTAAAAATTGAGCCCCGCCATTTAAATTATTATCGAGAAAGATGATTGTCGTTTTTCCTCGAAGAAGTAAAACTTTAATGAAAGCGCAAATACTTTACGGGCAGTCTATATAGTTTGGTTAGCAAACAAGTTTCTAATATTCAAAATTCGCACGGTTCCCGAAAATTTCACGAGCAGCTGCTCTTTTCGTTCGAAGAGTACACGAAACTCGGTGGTGAGTTAACGACCAAACGTCACGAGACAATCCCCAAAAGAAACGCGTCTACGGATAGAGAGTGGATAATATAGAGATCGAGTCATGAAAGTCGATGTGGTTTAAACAATAGAACATCGGACATTATTAAACTATTCTCTATAATTCGAACTCTTTTTTTCTTTTTTTGCAGTGTTGTCTCTTCTTTTTTTTGGAACCAGTTGGAAATAAACTGTTTTTACCCCTTGCTCCCTAGTGGATTGTTGCAGCAATAGGAATTGAAATAGTTTTCTTTATTCTTACATTGACAAAGAAATAGGAATTAAGAGTTTTGTGACACGCTATTTTGCGATTCGAGAATCGCATTTGGGAGGAGATATGAAATGACCTCATATTTTTACGTCCCTCTTGGATTAAAGGACAATTTTGATGTTTCTTGAGGAGCTCGATTGTCTACAGATTTTATTACTGTCATTTCGAAGTCTTCTTCATTGCCCGTCCCACTCGCGATATTAACTTGAAGAAAGTAATGTTTCAAGAGTCAAACTATGCTTCATTGTTTTTGATGAACCTTTAAATCGATCCACGGACATTGACTCCAAATCGAAAAAAGTTCTTATTTGAAAATTAATATTACCCAGGCTTTGAACTCATCTACTGAAACCTACTATTTACTACTTTTTTTTACGTTATGCTACTATTTGGGTACTTTTTTAAATTTTAGTTTTTTCAGATTTGAGAATTCACACTATTTTAAATTCGCTAATAATAGAAATTAAAGAACTATTCTCAAAAATTATAATCAAATTCTTTAAAACGATTCAATTATTTTCAAAAAATATTCGAAATTCAATTACTTTGAATAACTATAGTATTTTTTTAAAATTAAGCAAAAGAATTAAATTATTTAAAAAAAAAATTATAAAATTTATCCAAAATTCAATTATTTCCAGAAATAATAAAATTTCCGCAGAAATTTAATTAATTTAGAATTGCATTTTCAAAAAAATTTCGAAAAAATCAATTATTAATAAAAATTTTTATACAATTATTCATAATAATTCAATTACTTTCACTACTACTATTTTTCACAGAAATTCAATTTTTTAAAAACATTTTAATACAATTTTTCGCAATAATTCAATTATTTTCGTAAATAATAAAATTCTTGTTAGGAATTGAATTATTTTTGAAAATTTTAATAAAAGTCGTCGCAGGATTTCAATTATTTTTAATACAATTTTACAGGAATTGCTCAAAAAATGTGATTGTTCTTAAAAAATTTCATTTCAATTCTTTGAAAAAATCAATTATTTAAAAAAATGTTTTTTTAAATTCTTTGAAACAATTCAATTATTTACAAAAAATATTAGAATTTTTCACAGGAATTCATTTATTTTAGAATAGCATTTTCAAAAAAATCAATTATTTAACAAAATTTTTATACAATTATTCATAATAATTCAATTACTTTCACTAATAATAACATTTTTCATGGAAATTCAATTTAGAAAAAATTTTTTTTGATAAAATTCTTAGCAAGAATTCAATTATTTTTATAAATAGGTAATAAAACTCATAGAAGAATTTCAATTGTTTTTAATACTATATTTTAAATTATTTAATCGAAAAATTCAATTATTTTTACAAATAAAGTTTTCCACAAGAATTCAATTATTTAAAATAAAATTGTTATAGTATTTATTATATTTCGAAAAAATTAATTATTTATAACAATATTTACAACATTCATATTAAAAATTCAATTCTTTTCGAAAAGAACAAAATTTTTAACAAAAATTCAATTCTTTTGAAACATTTTAATAAAATTTTTCGGAATAATTCAATTATTTTCGTAAATAATAAAATTCTTTTCAGAAATTCAATTATTTATGAAAATTTAAATAAAACTCTTAGCCACTATTCAATTATTTTCATAAATAATAAAATTCATCGCAGGATTTCAATTATTTTTAATACAATTCTACAGGAATTTAAAATTCGTTGAATGAATTCAATTATTTTCATAAATAATAAAATTCATAGCAGGATTTCAATTATTTTTAATACAATTCTACAGGAATTTAAAATTCGTTGAATGAATTCAATT